AATTTTGATATACGTCTTAAAAATATTATTAAATTTTTAATAAATAGTATTATTGTAAACGGTTCTTCCAAATTTAAAAATAAGTAAATTGTTAGTAACTTACTTGTAGGTATATACAGATAATATTCACAGGTACGTCATAGATTTTTTTGTTTAATATCCCTTGAGATTACCTTTCAAAAAAAAATTATATCTCTTAGTAAGGCGAAAATAACAAAACAGGACCGACTGGTGTGAAAAGCTTAAAGTAGCCACCAAGTTGTATATTTTCCTTAACATAACTATTTCATGGGGTAAAGTAGATTATTTTTTAAAGGTTACATACAGTGTTGGGGACAGATACTTTTAAAAGTATCTAGATACACATATAGATATACGGAAGATAAAAGTATCTAGATACAGATTGTTTTCGATTTTTTCGAAATGTATCTAGATACAGATACAAGAAAACTTTTTGAAGCTTTGGCGAATAAAATAACTGAAAACATGTGTACGTATTTTTGTATGTATTGTTTAATGAATTTTCTAAAATTAACAAGATTTCGAACGTATTGTTACCTAAATTATTTCTTCTTGGTGTCAGAATTTGGTTTCCGCTACTAAACACCCGTTCCACAGGTGCAGAAGAAGGGATTGTGGTATTATATTTAAAAAATAAACATTTTGCTGTAGCATAGTTATTCAAGATTGAAAGATCTTTTCTTTTTTCCTGCAAATAGGCCATCGCTTCGCTGTTTGATGTGTTGCAAATTGTGCAATATTTATTACGTACGCTTAAAAAGAATTTTTTTTTTTTGTTTTTATTCCCATACTACAGTGTCCAAATTGTGTTTGAGTATATCTAATAATTATCTTCAGCATTAAAATTAATATTTCAAAAGAATACCGGAAAGAAGAATGTCATAAATTATTATTCTTCAATATCAGTTTACGATGTTTTTGTGATCATGTCCGGTAATCGTCTATCCCGGTGCGGCAGGTATATACATTTTAGGAAGAACTGCCGGTTCCGTTTAAGGGTGGCGTCTGGTTCGGTTTCGCCCAATACTAAATACATTGAAAACATCGTCGTAGTTTCCGGAATTGCATTTTTAAAATACTGAAATCTCCAACCAAGTCAGAAGCTAAGTAAACCTGCATTCTGCTACCGCATCACAGCTCGTTTAATGCCTATTTCTCGTTTCAATAGATTTTGACTTTTCGCGAGTTATTTATCTCAGTCGTGGATTTTTTAATATTATAAATGTTATCAAAAGAAAGCTGACACTTTTCCCCAGGGGACCTCCTATTTCAGAATGCAAAAAACTTCAGCACTTCGTCAAAAAATGCATCAATGTGCCGGTTAAAATGTGATGTAAAAGTTGTTCAAATTTATAATTTTTTTTTGTAAAAACTGCATACTATATATGAATATAAATATGGAGGTCCCCTGGACTGAAGTTTGTTAATTCGAAATATAATTTTTTTAAAGCGATATATCTCATAATTTTAAAATGCAACTCCGGAAACCGCGACGATGTTTTCAATGTATTTAGTATAGGGCTAAACCGAACCAGACGCCAGCCTTACTGCCCATTCACAATGGACATAAGACATAAGAACGAGCGCATAACATAATTTACGTTTTTGGTTTGTGTCTGGCTTATGCTTATTTACGTTCACAGTGGACAGAGTGAACTCTGTAAGAATTGTTAAACTGCGCAAACGCAGAACGGAATAACTCCCGGCTAAACATAGAAACGGCTAACCTCAAACTGAATCAATCAAAATATCTAACCTACAATTTCATACGATATTCGAACTTGACAACTCGCAGTACAGAACAGACTCGCAGTGTGAAGCTTTGATTATCTATACATATAAAATTGTTTGTCCTGACTGACTGATTCATCAACGCAGAGCCTAAACTACTGCAGCTAGAAACATGAAATTTGGACAATAGTTTCCTTTTGTGATGTAAACACCCACTAAGAAAGGAACTTGGGAAATTCCACCCCTAAAAGGGTGAAAAGCGGTGGTAAAGTTTGTACAAGAAGACTATTTCCTAACCATTTCTGTTGTAAATATTTACGTGAAACTTGGTATTAATGCTTTTCAACACAAATAACGAAACACGTATTTCACCATTTTCCGAAATTCAACCCCTAAGGGGGTAAAAAGTGGTGGATAAGTTTGTACGGGAAAACTACTTCTGTTGCACATTTTCACGTGGAACTTGGTATTAATGCTCTTCAACACATATAATGACACACGTATTTCAGCATTTTCCGAGATTCAACCCCTAAGGGGGTAAAAAGTGGTAACTAATTGTGTATGGGAAAATATTTCTATTGTAAATTTTTGCTTGGAACTTGATATTAATGCTTTTCAACACAAACAATGTAACGCGTATTTCAGCTGTTTTTGAGATTCTACCCCTAAGAAGATCAAATGAGGTGACAAAGTTTATATGAGAAAAAATATTTGCATGGCGATGTTTAGTTGAAATGTTGTTAACATTTGTTACTTGAAAATTGGTAATCATGTAAAATTGTTTGTCTTGACTGACTGATTTTAATTCTTTTTTGAAATTCATCCCCAACGGAATATGATTTGGGTGGAAATGAAATGAAAGGATGTAGCTGTAGCAAAAAATATCCTCGAATTCTCCTGAAAGAAACCCAAACAGGCGAAGACAGCTACCCTCAATACCGGCGAAGAGGTTCCGCGGATGGTGGATTCACGGTTGAATTCCATGTTGTAACCCTAGATAACAGATGGGTGGTACCGTACAATCCACTTTTATCTTGAACTTTTGCTGCTCACATCAACATAGAGTATTGTAACTCTCCAACTCCAACCAGGATTATTTGGTCTTGAAAATGACAATGATGAGGTCAAATTATATGAATGTGGTCGATATATTAGCAGCTTTGAAACTGTCTGGAGAATCCTGACGCTTTCCTATACATGAACAATTTTCAGCGGTTTTTCATCTCACAGTGCACTTGAAAAATGGCCTGCTGTCTGTTTTAATCCTAACGACTTTAATAATGTAACTGAAAAGGTAAATAATTCACAGAAAACTACTTTTCTAGCATTTTTTGAGCTTTACAAAACGAATAATTTTGCAAAAATCCTTTTTTATGTTGAAGTCCCTTCGTACTATGTGTGGAAAAGTACCAAATTTGAGAGACAAAAACGTGGAAAAAATGTTGATGGTTGGCCGGGAGTCAAAAGCGATCAAACTTTGGGCAGAGTGTACACCGTTCACCCTAATAACGCCGAATGTTTCTACCTTGGTCTTCTTCTTCAAGAAATGAGAGGGCCAACATCATTCTCGGATTTAAAAACTATTGATGGTGTCGCTTATCCCACATACCAGTCATCATGCAAAGCTTTGGATTTGTCAAGTTCAGTCAGAGTATCAAGGGAGTGTTCATATTATAAATGAAATGTACAACAAGTGTGTGATTTCCTTTAAAGACACGGTGCTGTCTTTAGGAAGACAATGTTTAAAGTATTATGGTTCGCCTCAGCCTGTAAAACGTGAAGAAGTCATACAAAACAGAGACTCTTTCAGAGTGATTAGCTATGACATACTTTTAGGCCCGGTATTTCAGTAGTTGGTTAAAATCAGGGTTAACTAACCTTGGTTAAATTTTAACCAAAACTTTAACCAAGAACCGGTATTTCAGTGTCGAAAATTTGGTTAAGTATATTCTGGTTAACTAACCATTATTTCTCTTAAGTTGGTATCGTAATTGGTCTACCAGTTGAAAAGAGCATGTGCGAGGATATATTCTTTCATATTTTGGTGGGCGTGTAGGCGTTTTTATAACCTCACTTTTGCTTTATTTACACTTTGATTGTGAAAGTGTTGTTTCTTTTTAAGTGAATCGTGTGAAAAATAATTTAAAAAAATGGCAAATATTTACTCTTCTAGCGATAGTGACTCAGACGATGAGCAAGTTATTAATTTTGTTGTCCGCTTGGGACGAATTCGCAAAGTTCCTAGAATACAGATACGAAAGGACCATTTTAATTACTGGGACGACCAAGAATTTTATTGTAGGTTCAGACTGTCAAAAGAATCTGTAACAAATTTGTTACATTCAATTCATGATGTCATAAAGCATCCGACAAATTGGTATAAAATATACAATTTAAAATAATATAAGCTGTTTAATGAATCTATTTCAGGAATCACGCTCTTACATCAATGGAAATGTTGTTAATTACACCACCTCCCTTAAATCTCGAAGAGCAAAGAGCTTTTGATTTGGCAGATGATGTACCAGTTGCTGATGATGTAAATAGAAATAATAACAACAGAGCAAGAAATGAATTCATTGCATATTTTGCAAATTTGTAAATTTACATACATAATGTAGAAGTTTATAAATTATTTCTAAATTCATTAAATGCAATTTCAGCTCATGTTCCGCTCTATGCTTTAGTTGGTTTAGTATTTTTCATTGTTCACATCACTTATGTATTCATCTAACCAAGTAAATAAAAACAAAATTATATGAAATTAATTTATTATATCTCACTGATTTACTGATTATTATCAACATCGGAGAACGTGATTTGTTGTTTCAACAATGTCATCCTTAATGCATGCTCCTCCTGCATTAATTTCAATTTTACACAATGTTCTTCTTCACGATGTCGCAGTTTTTGCTCATGTTCCTCCTGCAATTGGTTCTTCATTATTGCATGGATTTCCTGTTTTTGCTTGTGGTCTTCTTCAAGTAACTTTTTTTTGAAAACTGAGTTGTTCCTTTTCTCGTCGGCAAGCTGACACCATTTGTAATTAGTAATATTTCCACCCACTCTTATTTTACCTGCGGAGTACATTTTATTTTCAAAGTTACTTATTACTATTATTAATTATGTCAAATCACCTTTCTTTGAAACATGTAGTGGTTTCGAAGGAAGCTTTTTTAACATCCTTGGAGTGTATTGTGACCAGTCTGAAAAAAAAAATAACCATGTGTTTAATGTTTAACAATACTTTATATCTTACCTAATTCATTTTCCCGCGTATCCCCCCGTTGTGCAACTACGTCTTCTTCTAAAACTAAAAATAAAATATATATTATAATTTTAATAACAATTAATTTATTACTTTGCACTTACCTAATTGTGATGAAGAGGCACTGTTTTCTGTGAAGAAGCTGTTTGACGTCCCCATATTCTCTACAAAAAAGGTGTTATTATGAAATTTACAAGTATGTATATATTTTTTGTATAGCTACCTTCATTTTCAATCTCTGGGACAATTGAATCCTCAATTTCATTTCCGTTTCTTATTTCTTCTACATCTAAAACTTAAGAATCAATTATAACCATGTTGTTATTTTAATGTCTAATAAGTGATAACTTACCATCATTATCACACACCGCTGGTAAACCTGTCAATCTGTCTCCCAAAATTTCGCGGACAGTTGCGTCTACTGACGTCTCTGTTGGGCCTTTGGAGGGACCACCGCCAGTGCCTCGTGCGTATTTTTTATCGTGGGCAAAATTGCGAACTGCGGTTTTTTTTAAATTTGTCCATTTGTCTTTTAGATTCCTGGACGTTCGAGGCACGGTACCAGAAATGGCATTAAATGTTTCTGACTTCTCCCAGGCTATCCCCTTTTGCTTATTATTGACGATTCCAGTTTCTTTGCACTCGATCACCTTCTTGTTTTGTCTAACCAAATCTACAAGTAGGCAAATTTCTTGTGTTTCAAAATTTTTTGATCTAACACGTTCACGTTCACTGTTCATCCTGTAGCTTTTATTATATACTTAACAGAGAAAAAAAACACAACAACAGGCACGAGGTACACGAGAAAACGAGGTTAGAATGGTGATTAATAACAAGAACAACTGTCAAAACTGGTCTTCAAAATGTCTCCCAAAATTTCGCGGACAGTGGCGTCTACTGCGCATGTGTTAACCAAAAAAATAATGGTTAAACCACCTAGCTGGGCTGGGTTAAAGTAACCAAGAAATTTAACCGTCAAATATCTTAACCCCACACTGAAATACACTTAACCAAAACTTTTTTTGGTTAACTATAATTTCTTGGTTTAACCAACAACTGAAATACCGGGCCTTATAGGCACAACGAAAGTTTATTAAATACAGAACAATATCAAATTTACAACCAAGTTTTAGATAGGTCAGGTAAATGTCTGTTTTTACATGGCTGCCTACAATATTAGCGACAAAACTATCCAAATATTTTAACTTTTTTAAAGAAATATCCTTTAATTTAAAACATGACTTTTAATCAAATCGACAAAAGATAACCCAAATTACAAAATTCATGGGACCCTAACTCCAAACTTTCAGTCCTTATTTCACCCACTTAGGGGTAATTGATGCTTACATAACGAAAGGAACCTTCTGTCCAAATTTCGTGTTTCTAGCTCCAGTAGTTATGTTAATGAATCAGTCAGCCGAAGGACAAATACTTTTATATATTGTTATTAATGAAGACTTGCACAAACTTAAAAAGTAATAAAATTGAAATCAAAAAATAAATCAGCGGATCAAAAATAATGTGTCCTAATTGCGAAAACCACGCAAGCGGAGCTGCGGGTAACAGCTAGTAATTTATATAATATAATCAAAGGTGTGAAGTGCCAAGTGCCAACTGTCAAAGGGAATTCAACAGCAGCATTCAAAAGTCCCTAGATTTTAACATAATTTTGACATAATTCGTGCACAAAGTTGAACTTGTTTCAACTTTGTGTACGCACACAAGGATTACATAAAACGTTCATAAGCATAAGAATTAAGTTCGTCCACTGTGAACAGGGGTACGCGTTTTCCATCGTTTCAACTTTATGTATTTATGTAAGCTTTATGTACTTGTTATGCCTTATGTCCATTGTGAATGGGCAGTTAAGGCGAAATAAGTACAATTTCTTAGAAAGGTATTTAAACCCCTTATAGGATCAAAGGCTGCCTGGCAGGCCGGAATCACCAGAGTGCAACTTTAAATTTTCAGATTTTTGTTGAAATTCATTTTATTTTAATCTCGTTTCAAGATTTCTGAGAATATATCAAGATAAATTATTCTACTGAGGGTTGTAAAAATATTAATTTTTTGCCCAAGATTTACACTTAAACATAATCGGCACATGCTAGGGCAAAACGGACCTGCCAAGCCCGCCTCGCGTTAGGTCCAACAATGAAAAAGTGAAGAAATGACACATGTGGCAACAGGAAAAGATGCTACATTTGTCTGAAAAATAAAGGTATAAAACAGTAACAAATATGCGATTTATGCGAGAGAAATGTATGTATTGAACATTCGATTAGTCGATTACAGAACTAATTTGTGTTAATTGAAAAAATTAATCATTATGTAACACGCAATTATTATTTTCTAAAAATAATAACATACCTTAAACAAATATTTTTACTATTAAAATGACTCTTATTTAATAACACAAATACAACCAGCGGGCCTTCCGGACCCGGGTTGCTCAGGTACACAGATAAAATGCATTGCCCGGGATAAGCATAAAACGCAGTGAATAGTGAATTGTGGTTTATGGTTTTTAAAATACCATGTTACCATGGCTTAGATTTATTACCCCTCAGGATTATATTTAAAGATGTATAAGTACTGAAGGCTACAATGTAGGAAATGATGGTATTTAAAATATGAAAATTTCCGTGACAGAACAATATTAGTGGACCTCTTACCTCTATTTTTGTTTATGTGACCAAAATCACCAACACGAAGTATCAAAAATTACTACTAGTATAACTCAACTAATAACTACTGAAAAAAAGTGAAATAAAAACATGTATCTGTATCTGCGCCATTAATTTTATATATAGATAGAGATACTAGATACCCAAAAAAATATCTAGATACTTTATTTAGATACAACTATCTAGATGCTGTCCAACACTGGTTACATATTTCAAACAATTTTTTCTGCAAGAAATGATAGTCCAGGAACTTAAAACTTCCGTAGCATTTTCTATTGTAGGAATCATAGATGCCTGAAAAAAATCAACTCTATCAGGTCAATAGTGTTGACACACGAGCCAGCTGAAAATCACTAAACTGAGAAAGTTATAAGGAACTTTGGGTGGCCCACTTGATGACTTCTTAGGCAATAAAATAAAATTCCAAACATTTCAATTCGTGTTATACAGGGTGCCGCATCCAAGTCTGGGAATTAACATGGGAATTGGTTTTTATTTTATAATATCTCCCCAGATCACTTTAAAGCTATTATTGAGTGATGCTTTTGTTGAGGTCGAAGAGGGCTATCGGCCAGTCGTTGCATCGAGCTCATTCACTGTAAAAAGGTTTTAAAAATCGTATTTTGAAATTCGCGCCCGATCCCGATTGAATGCGAAATGTTCCGTCACACTGTCGAAGTTCGGCGATCGCGTCTTTCGATTAATTAACCATGCAAAATCAAAATATCAAAGTGAAATTAGAAAATTATTCTTAGAAATCAACGAACAACTCAAACTGAATTATTTTATCCAGTGTGATGATTATGGTAGGACAATTTAAACGGAATAAATGCACAAACTGCACAAAATATTTCATTAAGGTTATGCTATGTTCCACTGCAATTAGATAAAAAAGCGAGGGTCTGCTTGTTCTTGTACGGTTAATTTAATTAGTAGATAATTTGGGTAAATTTTACACTTTTTTTTTTCGAATGACTAAAGATTGGAAGTCAATTGATTTTACATTTCCCTATATCCAGACTTGGATGCGGCACCCTGTAGAAAAAAAGTTACAGTCCATAACAGTAGAGTTTGAAAATGGCACAATTTCAGACTCCTCAGGGGTGCCAATCAGCAGTGAAGCATCCAAAAAACTAAATGATGGTTTTTCATATTGCATGGTTACCTATAACGTCATCTTCAATTTTTTCATCAAAATCAAAAATCATACGATGCAGTTTTTATTCAACTTAGGTGTTTTCATATGGAACGACTCTTTTGCTACGTAATTTATAAAAATTACACCAAGAAAGCATTAAAAAAGCGCAATCAAAGCCAGGCATGGAATTTTGGCATTTGTCTTTGATATAGTTTTCTTCCTTTCAGATTACCGTCAATTTGAAAGTTTGATTTGAACTTTATCGTTGCATCAAAATCCATGGCGATCTTTGATCGTATTTTTTATTGTTCTCTCGATATTATATTTCGACAAATAGCGTATAGTATGATCCATTCGCTGAAGCGTTTTCCTCGGTCCCCCTGGTACTTTTGAAACGTCCACAGTTCATTTGTCCTTCCTAGCAGTTTCCAAATTGCATCGACTCCAAACTAGTCATTAATTAGTCATTAGTGGGTCTACTGATAATTTTGACGCATCAGCGCAACACAGTCAGTTTGAAAGCTACAATTGCAGAATCATACCCCCTGTAGTATACAACAAGAAAATTTGAAACAAAAAGATTTACGCTATGTCAAGTCTCTTTGAGCACTACTATGTACGTACATTTCTGAGAACGGCCAAACAATGCACTGGAAAATCTTTTAGTCAGACGAACAAAGCAGGTTCAAAGCAAATCATAATATCCAATCACAGTTATCACAGCTATCACTAAATTATACTTATGTTTTTATTCATTTTTTGCAATTAATACAATGTACAGTAACTCTACGCATAATGGTACTCCCGTATTTAACCACATCTGATGGGTATTTGTAGAGAAAAACAGTGACTAAAAAACTAAAGACGTGATTGCTATAATTTAAGACACAGGAATAAATACTTTCCACGGCATTAATTTCAACGTAAAATAAGATGCATTAAGGTTTTTCTTTCCAATTGCTTACAACAAATTACAGCAAGTCTGATTATGTTGTGAAGATCACAATATATTTAGTCTTTGATTTTCATGACCAAGTAAGGTGCTGGTCACAGTTTTTTATTTATTAGCTGGAACTAACTTACTCTAAATACCTGTAAATTAACAGTAAAGTGTTCACTAATATTACATTGTAAATTGATTTTTACAATGTGTATTTAGGTATTTTATCTAACTGTTTTGAGTTATTACTCTACATTTTGTTACTACATTATATTTGGTTTTACATTCCAGCACAAATTTTAACAAGCTCGAAATTTTAATGACTTGCATTTTGTGGAAAGACCCTCCACGATTTTTCTGTTCTTATTTCCTTCTAGAGCATACTTTTTGCTGTTTCCACTATTCTTCTGCATCTCGTCCTGTCGTTAGCTTTTAAGCTTATACTTTTCCCATATCGCTACATCTTCCAGGTCTTTTATTTATAAATCACTATATTTAATATTTAGTATGATTGACAGTCCATCTCGTTGCTTAACTTTTGGTTTATCTCGAATTCCGTTCTGAGATGGGCTATACTGACGTTTTCATTATTATCAATATTAGCTTTCTTAATTTACTATCCTTCTTGTGTTTCATCTATCATACTCGTATTCAGACTATCACAGGCTAGTTTGAAGTCAATGAATATCATTTATAGATTAATAGTGTGTCCACAACATTTCGCTACCATTTGATTTAGAATCTGAATAGGGTCTATACACAGTTGCTCTCTCTTGTTGCAACCAAAACTGGTATTCTTTAATATTACGTACCATTTATTTGTTCATTCTCTAGAATTGTTAGCATTTTATAAACCGCATATGACAGTTGTGATTTCCTTAAAATAACAATTACATTTCGGTTCTCTTCTTTCAATATCAGCGACGATTTACTCGATATTTCTACAAGTACTTTAATTATTTCACTCGTAATATC